AAAATCAAAGCGGCCCGCACCCCCGGTTTGAAAAGTTAAATATTCTGAAATATTCAAAATTTGAAGCATCACGTGACCAGCCTTTACCAGGGCCTTTGGTGCTTCGCCTCCTTCCTCAATAGGCCCTGGGGACGAGGTTGATTAGTATAAGGGTAAAATTTCGTTTGCCCCCCCCCCCTCCCATTTACCACTCCCCTCCCCATAAAAAATTACCACTCCCTAATTAGCAAGAAATACTATTTTTCTCGTTTAATTTGGAAATATGCATACGGTCGTGATTCCTCTATAGCACTTTAATGAGAATGCAAATCTTGGAAAATGGCACTGGTCTTTTCCAAATCTCACTCAAAACCATACCTACACCACTGGTCCAAGATTTTCCGTTGATCTCATTACTTATATAATAAAATGAATAGTTTCGTAGTGGAGTCATTTCAAACAAGTGTTTGTAACTGATTTGCATATTTATTAAATTATGTTATTCCAATACTAAAATTATTTAACAAGCACCAATTTATTTCCTCGTTCAAAAGTTATAGCAAGAATTAAACACGCAGTTATTAAACACTGGTACTATTGTATACTCGATGTACTCGGTGAAGAATCCGTATTTTCACGGCATTTGTATCGGAATGCACAATAAAATCATGTCAACCATATTGAAATACTGCGTACTCACCTTTTATCTTTATACAGTGGATCCAATCCACTTTTATCGCTCAAATATCGCTTCAAACCACAAATTATAACATACAAAGTTGATGCAAACCTCTTCCACAAACCGAGTCAGCCACAGATTTAATGTTTCTGCGTTCATACAATGTAACAGTGTAGTCAAATCTTCGACTGGACATATATCTAAGTTCACTGAACTCCTAGCAGTCGTATCTTCTCGTCAACTTTGCCAGTCTTTGCCAGTCTTGACGGCCCATTTTGTATTATATCCTGTATTCTTCGGAATAGTACTGGCAACCAAAATCTTCTTCTGCTGTCAAAGGTTTTCTGAACTGTCTACCACCTTCCATCACCGTGCTTAATGCGACCTATACGCTCTCTCTTCGCAAAAAGTTCAGCCTATTCTAGCTGTAAATGTCAATTTTATTCGAGACTTTTATCAAACAAAAGGAAACAATTGATTTAAACTCAAAACACTTAATCCATTCACATCTCATCAGACGTTCATTATATATTCGTTTCACAAGTTGTTTAGAACACTCACGACCGTGTTGTGTTGAATATATGTATTCACTCTCCTTCGGCTCGTGATAAGTATAGGTAATCATGCGACAGCGAGTGCAATAATCGCTAATTGTACGAGGCAACATCGCATGGTTACTGGTTTATTATTAGCATGACAAAATTGGATACTTTTCAATGTCAACATCATATTCTCTCGCCGAAGCCCAGTCCTGTATTAAGACTTTCAACCAAAATTTTGTTCCTACTTTCATTTAGTTCTTTTGTTAAAGCAAAATTTGATGCTTTTGTTCGTATTTTCATCTAGTTTCTCTAGGGCAATTTCATTTCACATTTGTATTTTGTTAAAATACCTTTCCGCCATTTTGTTTGTTTTGGGAAAATCATTAATTGTGCTGCAGTACAATTAATGAAATAATTGTAATTAATCCTCTCAATCAATCAGCATCCAGTAATTTTGTCATGCTAATAATAATATATTCAATACAACATGGCCTCTCGTGTTGTAAACATTACTAAGAATTTTGTCAATCTTATATCTCGCAGATTGACGGCACGATAGCCATACTATTCTGTACAAAAAACATCAGCCGAAATTTTGGAATCTTCCGCCAAATACTTGTTAGCATATCTGGTTACGTGGAATTGAACATGATTTAATAGTAATGCATGTTATCCAGACATTTTGCTAGAAAATATAGTGTTATTCGATCAGTCTGACGGACCCGCAAACTTACTTTATTTTCTTTATTTATAGATACAATGACAATGTGCAGTATTCCTATTGTTGTCTACTATGGTCCTAGTGCAATAAACTACCGAGTAACCGTTAATAACATGACAACCTCGGCAAGTCTTGGTAGTGGAGGAGCGGAAGACATGGACTATGACCGTTTCTCGAGACGATTGTTCTATTATGTGTCAGGCAACTTCTACAGCATTGAACAAGATGGTTCAGGTTTAAGAAACATAGGAGCAGTAGGAAATGTTGAGAGGTTCACTGTAGACGGACGAAACAATATCATCTATTACATCAATACATTAACTGACACTATTTACAAGTTAAATATGACAAACTTAGCTGAGACTAATCTTAATATACGTGCCAAGGACATCGACATGGACAGCGTAAATAAGTAAGTTTACTGTTAGTTGCCTTGAACAACTATCCTGACCCTGCATGGATTTGATTAATAATATGCATTTTGGTATTTGCATTAAGTCAGGTTACAGATTTAGCAAATTTTTCAAATTCATTCACTTGATTTAATATGTCAAGTCAAACTGAAATTATCTTCCGGTAATGCAACCTTGATTGTTTAAATTGTATAGGACATTAATGTGAATAATTTTTATTTCATCTTTCTCTTCTGTTCAAGAGGTCATTGCAAAATTAGTGCTCGGAACATATATATTTTCACGTTGTATTTTGTGTTTAAATTTCCGCATTGACATGAGCGTACGGATTACATGCGGGCTCGTATTCGTGTGCGATTGTTTCTCCACACTCCTGTGGGAATAATGTTTGATCGGCACAGTTTTAACCTACCAGAATCGAGTAAATGAACTAAAATATATTAAGTTAACTACAGTAATTGATATCGACTACTCTTTGGAGTAACTTGATCTATCGTTTTCTTTTTCTTAAAGTTAGCGTATGCCACATTTTGTCTGCTTTCTTTGTCTTCGTGAATAGCTCTATAACATTTTACCACCCTGTAATACGACGAGAGCGAATAGTATAATTGTTTTATAATATAGTCTAATATAGCCATTAAATGAAGCAATAATTAATGTCTTGACAATTTGTTCGGCCAAAAACTTGTGTTGTACAACTCGAAGACGAAGTGAAAGAAATGGTTTTAGAACCGGTATATCTCACAAAAAAGCTCAGATATATTATACAGATGTTTGGTAGTATAGTAAATGCTTGTCGACTGCAAATTCATTTGTCTTTCATTGCAAACTTTTCTGAACAATTTATATTCTCCATGAACATGTTTTTTTCGCTGTTGTTTCGGTATTAATTCTTTAAAAAACTTGTATTTAAACTAATTTCTATGTATTATCTTTCTCAAAGGGAATATTTTCCATTTTTCTGCTTCGCAAAACTCATGTAGTTTTTGGACCGCCATCTTGTTTTTCGCTACTCGCCGTATATGAGCTGATATACGGCGAGTAATTCAACCAATCAGATTGCAGAACAGCTCATATACGGTGAATGACTATATTATAACTATATTATAAATATATATATATATATATATATATATATATATATATATATATATATATATATATATATATATATATATATATATATATATATATATATATATGTAACAAACAGAACGGCTACGTTTGAAGAAGTTTATTAAAAAAAAGTTATATTAAATACAAAAACTAAATTTTCGGCTGCATGCCACTCTGAAGAAGGCTGTGGCATGCAGCCGAAAATTTAGTTTTTGTATTTAATATAACTTTTTTTTAATAAACTTCTTCAAACGTAGCCGTTCTGTTTGTTACATATGAAGTCTTGTCGGCTGAGCAGAGTACTGGCATTTGTCACATATATATATATATATATATATATATATATATATATATATATATATATATATATATATATATATATATATATATATATACATATATATATATACAGTCATTGCCAAAAAGGTTGTCCAGATCAAATATATCTAAATACCTAAATATCGATCACGTGACATGTATT